CCAGAAATGAGCATGAATAGAGAATTTTTGTTTCTATCCATACTAGTTTCGGGACCCAATCATCCTAGAAAATGTCTTGATGTATTTTTTCGACCGTTAATAGAAAAGTTGAATGAGCTATGGAGTAATGGGGTGGAAGCATATGATGCCTCAATTATGCAAAAATTTTTACTTCGCGCCGTACTTATGTGGACTATAAGTGATTTTCCAGCATATTCAATGTTGTCTGGTTGGACAACGCATGGTCGACTGGCATGTCCGTATTGCGTGGAAGACATTGATTCATTTTGGTTGCAAAATGGAAGAAAAATGAGTTGGTTTGATTGTCATCGTCGTTTTCTACCAATAAATCATGTGTTACGTCGTAACAAGAAGAATTTTCGGAAGAATAGAATTCTAAATGATACTGCTCCGCCTGAGCTTACTAGGGATGAGATATTGTTTGAACGAATTGAGGAATGAGTGAGGTCATACGGTTTAGCAACTACAACAGATGTCGGGGAAAACGGTCATGTGCAGATCGAAGGATACGGTGAATATCATCTTTGGCATAAGAAAAGTACATTTTGGGATTTGCATGCCTTACTGGAGACATCACAAGTTGCGTCATAACCTCGATGTCATGCATATTGAGAAATTTTTTTTTTGATAACATCATGAATACGGTACTGAATGTGTCATCGAGGTCAAATGATAATGTGAACTCGAGAAAGGATATGAAGGTAATTTGTTCGAGAAAAGAGCTAGAGCTTACAGCAGATGGAAAGGCCCCTGCCCCCATTTTTCGTGTTTATGGAGAAGCTCAGAAGAATTTTTTCAAGTGGTTAAAAGAAGATGTAAAATTTCCATATGGATATTCTTCCAATCTATCTCGATGTGTTGACATCGAAGGAAATAAGTTGATGGGTATGAAGAGTCATGATTGTCACGTCTTCATGCAACGACTACTTTCTATTACATTTGCTGAGATACTTCCAGAAAATGTACATGACGCTTTATCAAGTATAAACAAAATTTGATCAATTTTGTTCTCAAATATGTATCTTATATATGCACATATATAAGTTTAACATAAAATTGTTTGCAGGGATTAGTACATTCTTTCGCGATCTTTGTAGTCGGACATTAAAAAATGAAGACGTGGGGGTAATGAAACATAACATCAGTTTAATATTGTGCAATCTGGAGAAAATCTTTCCACCCTCATTTTTTGATGTGATAGAACACTTACCGATTCATCTACTACGGGAAGCAGAACTCGGTGGACCGGTTCAATTTCGGTATGCATGTGTACAGATAATTCAGTATTTTTATGTTATTTTAGATTTATAAGTTTTTAGGTTACACTGAATATTTATAATATATATATATGTAGGTGGATGTATCCGTTCGAACGATTTATGTAACATTTGAAGAAAAAAGCTAAACAAAAAGTTTTTGTTGAAGGATATATTGCAGAACAGTATATTAACGAAGAAATCTCCTTCTTCACATCCTTTTATTTTGAAGATCGTGTCATGATAAAAAGTAGATGGCACAGCAGATCATTTAATTGTGGTGATGGACCAGATTATTCGTTACATGAAGGCATACCACAAATTTTCTATAGAAAAGGACGATGCGGTGGTAAATCGTCATACGCCTATTTATCTGATCAGGATTATCATATAATCCATACTTATGTGTTGTTGAATTGTGAACAAATCCTACCATTGGAGAGGTTAGTCCGTATAATTGACTTTTATATGAATTAAATATTATTTAACTTTATATAATATTTAACATATATTTTTTTTATTCATGCTTTTTGCAAGATTTTTGATGATCAAGTGTTCAACACTTACGGAAACGTTACTAATGAGGAGTTAAACAATATAAAAAGAAAATGGTTTTACAACATGGTTGAAACAATACGTAAGTTTATTAAATTTTTCTTGTAATTAATATGTCGATAAATTAATTTGATCATATAATTCATTTATATTTTTTTCCTTCAGATAAATACTTCAGGAGAAGAACATCCACTATGGTTACGTGAGATAGTTCAAGGTCCGCTTCATCGAATCATTGTTGGCCTATATTTTTTTACCAGGGGTTATATTTTTCATACATATGACCACGGACAACATCGTTCAACGATGAACTACAGCGTGTGTGTGAAAGGTTCTAACTACTGTGCTTCAGACGATGAACCAGATTTCTATGGTATCTTGCAACAGATATTACAACTTGAGTATCCGGGTCATGTTGGACTTAAAGTGTTGATATTCAAATGTGATTGGTTCGACCAAACACAGGGACGTGGGTTATGAGTTAACAAATCAGGCATTGTTGATGTGTGTTATACTCATCGCTATGCAAAATATGATCCATTCATCATGGCGTCTCAAGCAGATCAAGTGTGTTTTGTCCCATACCCTAGAAAAATTAAGCGACGCAGTGACATTGATTGGAGGGCTGTTGTGAAAATTAATCCCAGAGGCACCATAATTGACAAAAATGGACCAGAGCAGACTCCGTTACAAGATGACGATCGCATTGTGTTACGTATTGATGACACCATCAATATAGGAGATCTCACATTACCGTATAGAATGGTTGAAGAGCTTGGAATTGATAATAACGATGCAGATGTTGGTTCTGCCGAAGAGTCAAACAATGATACTGCTGGAACTTCTGAAAACGGAACATTTGATTAACTTGTTTGATTATGTTGTATTTTGTTATTATTGATTATGTTGTATTTTGTAAAATCTTAAAAATATGTTTCTTTACCGGTTTTAATTTTCTGGGTTATTTTTGCGACCGCATTTCTGTCGCAAACCAATTCATTCCTCCTTGTATGCGACGGTACAGTACTGTCGCATGCGCCACATGTCGAGAAATAAGTCGCCGAGTAGCAGTCTTGACTTTCCAGTTTTTTGCGATGGACCGTCGCAAGTAGCACGTGTCGAACGATCAGTGGTCTAAATGTTGCGTGTTCCGAAATTTACTTCTATGCGACGGTACTTTTACCATCGCAATGTGCTAAGTGTTAGAGACCAACGGTCGCCATGCAGTGTGCTTAGGAAGTCTCGCCTTTTGCGACAGAAACGGTGTCGCAATGTCTCATAAAATTGATACGTGTCACCGGATTTTAATGAATATGCGACCGTTTTACCGTCGCAATGCACTAAGTGTCAGAGGCCAACGGTCCCATGCAGCGTGCTTAGGAAGTCTCGCCTTTTGCGACAGAAACGGTGTCGCAATGTCTCAGAAAATTGACACGTGTCACCGGATTTTAATGAATATGTGACCGTTTGCTACCGTAATTTCTGTCGCAGTGGTTAATAAACCTGGTTTGCTCCCTTAGAAGACGAAACTTCGAAAAATTTATTAAGTTTTGGCGATTTCGCCTTTTCGCTCGCCGCTTCCCTCTGTCACCGTCGATTTCGCCTCCTTGCATCGTTTTCGACTTTGTTCCGCCGTTCTAAGCCCTCGTCTTTCGTCATCGCCCTCTGTTTCGCCGTTTTCACGACGTAAGTCTCCGGATGTCTCTCGTCTTTCATCACAGTGTGTTAAGTTTTTTGTTTTCTATTTGTAGATTTCATGGTTTATTGCTTTTTGTTGTTATATACGAGTACATGTTTCTGTATGCGTACATTTCATCCTTTTCATTCGTTTCTATATATGTATCTATATATATGACGAAACTTTTCTTTCGTATTATATGTGTTTTTCGTTGTATATATGTTTTTGATGTGTATGTACGTATATATATGTATCTGCATATATGTATGATGTTGTATATATGTGTATTTATTCGTGTAGATATGGGTGTATGAATGTATCCGTGTTAGTAGTTATATAGAAATGTCTGTATGTATCTGTATGTGTGTAATCTTCTGAGTATGTATATATACGAGTACATGTGTTTTAAACGGATCATGACTTCTGTATATGTATCTGTATAGTTCTGTATATGTGTTTTTTGTGGGTCTGTATGTGTGGTCGTATGTGACTGTACGTGTGTTTCTTAGGGTTAGGGTTAGGGTTAGGTTTAATTCTTACGGTTTGTGAGATTAATTAATTAGTAAACTGTAGATGAGCCTTTCTGGATCGAGTGTTAGAACTGGGAGCGGAGTTCGTTCCCGGGGACGGGGAACACCTACTTCGTCTCCCCGTGTTCAGCAACCACGTCTCGATCAACGATTTACCGGTCAATCATTGGCCGATGACATCGGTTCTCCTTTATCTCTAAGGGAGATTTTGGAGTCTCCTGATCGTCGTGACACTAGACCTCATATCCATTTTGTGGTTAAAAGGTTTAGTCGAAGGAGGCAATAAAAGAAGGTTTGTGGTTAAAAGGTTTAGTCGAAGAACTCGGTTTTGAGAAGAAATCAGTGGAAGTGTTTTGTGATTCTCAGAGTGCGATCAGAAGGTTTGGTGAATGTTCTGAAATTCCACACCGATGAGAATCCTGCAAATGCGCTCACGAAAACAGTTCCCATCAGCAAACTCGACAAACTGTTGAGATTGCTGAGATTGACCGATGATTGAAAAATGATCATGAAGGTTTGGGTAATGGGCTGTTAAGCGGTTGAGTAATAAGCAGATAAGGTGGAGATTTGTGGGTTGATATCTGCATATTTGTGGAGCTTCGTCTGTGAGTATTAAGCTCAGGAAGAACTTCAGTTTCAATCAGAAGGTTTCACTTTAGTGGAAGACGACGTCGCTTTTGAAGGAATTGTTGTTTAATGGACTCAAGGGCATACTGGTAATTTCGAAGATGGGTTTGTTAGAGACTTTAATAAAAGTCTGAGACGACGGACGCCATTGTTGTAGAGCTAAATTTTTCTAATTCTTGTAACCCAAAGACTGAGAGAGATCTTGGTGAAATTCTCCCGTTCGTGTTGTTCCCAGCCATAATCAATAAACTACCCAGGCTTTACTGAGACGTAGGATCAAGCACAACGCTTGAATCTGAACTCGTAATCTGTAACGACCCAAAATCCGGTATTTCGGATATTGATGAATCGTCACTTGGGTTATAAAAAAAATACGATTTACTCTAAAATCAACCATCAAAATCACATGTCTACAGCGGAAGTCTAAAATAACATAAGTCTAAAATTCTAAACGTGTAAAAATAGAAAATCAAATTCTTCGTGTTTCTGGCAACTATCGAGTCCAACCAAAACAATCTGTTTCAGCTTTCACCTGTGGGAAAAAAGGAAGGGGTGAGCTACGCGAATAGCTCAGTGAAGCAGCAAGACTATAAACCTCGCCTCCGTACCCAACATAGACAATCAAATAGAAAACAAATACAATCAACATTCAACTCAAGCAAACTCATTTTTCTTCAACTTTTCTCTTATCTTTTCTTTATTCAATTATTTAAAACGAGTTCAGACTATAGGACCATTCAGTATCCCTCAGACGTAGCTCAAAACTCTTTTATAAAACAAAACCAAAAATATCTTTGTAACCCTCTACGGATCGCCGCCGTAGTCGGGGTTACTAAAACACGATCAATAGTAATAACCCTCTACGGATCGCCGCCGTAGTCGGGGTTACCATTCCACATGGATCGCCGCCATGCCCGTATCGTTATGCCATCACATACGGATCGCCGCCGTACCATGGCTTCAAAACTCAACCAATAGTCGTAACTGTTGGGGAATCTACGGGTTCCTAGCATGCGATCATATCGATCTAGGGTTTGGTTTACTAGGTTTCATGCAGCGGAAGAAAAATCTAAACCTAGTCAAACGTCACACGCAACCAAACTCGCAGAACCCGAAAGATCTTGTATATCATCGAGGGAATCGTTACTTACCTCGTTCTCGATGAGATTTGAAGTTTATTTCGATCCGGGGCCTGTTCTAAACCAGCTAGGACTGAAGTTACAGTCTCTCTACACGTATCCACACCGACGGGAAGGATTCCAAACAGTTTGGAACGAATCTGCTAGGATTAGTGAAGAAAAGGGTAACTCAAAAGACGAGATCCAATCCCGGGACAATAGAAATCCAAGAGAACAGCTTCTCTAGGGTTCTAGGGTGTTTTTCTGAGTTTTAGGTCGGCTCTCTTTTGAAGTTTAGACGAAACCCTAAACTTAAATAAGATTAGAAAACCCTAAAATCAAATTTTGGAAATATTCCGGATCCCGGTCCGCCGGACCAGGAGCTTGGTCCGGCGGACCAAGCTTAGTCCGAAGCACGCACCGTCTGACCTGGAGGTTTGGTCCGGTTGACCAACTTTTGGTCAGCTCTGGACCAAACCTCTTGGTTCCTTTCCGGTCCGCCGTTCCAGCATCCTCGGTCCGCCTGTTTCCTGCGTCTGGTCCGGGGCTGACCAACTCTGGGTCAGCCGGACCAGGTCTGGACAGATGACCGCAGACCGAGCTTCCGGACCTCCTGGACTGACCAAACTTGGTCCGGGGCTGACCAAACTTGGTCAGCTCCGGACCAACACACTGAAAACTCCTTTTCATGCTCGTTTCGGTCAAATCTCGTTTCCATTCTTCGTATTCTTCACGTATAAGTCCATCCCTATTGGTGTGTGACCCTGTAGGCCCATTCTAAGTGGTAGTGACTTTAGGAACCTTTCCCGAACCACAAGTCATGGTTAGTGTTGGTTGTGATGCTCTAGGATGATCCGTGATATGACATTTTGACTTTGTATTGATTCATTGATTTATGAATGCATTACTTTTCCCGTTATATGATTAGCATGTTTGTTATATTACGGTAAATATCCTTGAATCATTGCAGATGATTCTAAATTCCCTGGTCAGTTATCATTGTGGGAACAATGATGAATTAAGACCAGCATGATGTGTGATAGATGATTATGATCATATGCATTAGATGCAAATCACAATCATGGGTTCTCGTTTGGAACGAGTTACTGGATGACCCGCATGAGATTGTCACATGGACATGAGTCATGACTTGAATCTCATACAGCGGTTCGTTCTTGGATCCTCAGACCTGAGATGTCTAGAGTATCTGATATGAGGAGTGACGTGTCTTGACTGCGTCAAACGTCGTCTTTAACCGGATAATCATAACGGCGTTGCTCAGATACGTTCACCAATCATATGCAGATAGTAGACATGCAATACGAGACTTGTCACCTCCTACGCAGGAGAGATGTCGCTGGGCCCCTCGTGGAAATCGGACTGTGAAAATGCGTGGCCACGCTATAGATGAAGTTGCATCTATTTTATTAGTCGATTTGCCAAGACGAGAAAG